CCCGATAACCCCGATAACCCCGATAACCCCGATAACCCCGATATCCCCGATCAGGCTCTTAATACTGTTTTTGATACAGTGTATTACTATATTTAGTATTATTTTTGAGTTTTGCATCTCTTGCTCATTGGAAGAAGTCACACCACTACTGTATAATAATTCTCCATCTTAATAGAAGTAGTTGACCACGGTACAATATTATAATTCATAAGCAGAATAAATTAACATTCGAACTCAAATATATTTCATTTTACCTTCATCCCATCCTTTGGTGCCCTGTCTTTACTAAATCACTATGTCGAGAGATTAATCCACTAAACTATTGAATTGATAGTTCGAGCCATAACTTAAAACGTTAAATTCGAAAATTTAGTACCCCAACAACCCCAATAACCCCAATAACCATCCAATAACCCCAATAACCACTCAATAACCGTAATAACCAGTCAATAACCACTCAATAACCGTAATAACCAGTCAATAACCCCAATAACCACGCAATAATACCAATAACCACCCAATTACACTAATAAGCACGCAATAACCCCAATAACCACCCAATAACACCAATAAGTACGCAATAACCCCAATAACCCCCATAACCACCCAATAACACCAATAGGCACCTTATACCCCCAATGACCACCTAAGAACCCCAATAACCAACCAATAATCCATCGGCGCTATCGGAATTTAGGTTTTCTGTTTTAACCGCAATAAATAGAATAAATTGATTCGATAAATTAACAAACTTGAAATTGGAGTTTATTGGTATTATTAGAGATGTCTGTTTACACTTTCATTTACTTGCATTAACCTGATGATTACATTTATCGATTATATCTGTTTTTGTGTCTATCCAATGTATAGGCCTTATCGACCCTATTTACGCCTTCCTATGTTTGTATTTAATGGATTATTGGAGTAATGCATATTCAGTTTCTAGCCAGCTTCTATAACGATTTTCGTCAAATTAACTCTATATTGTCTTTTCCAAGTAATTGATTCCATTATTGTTGGAGTTTTACTTCTATTAGGCGTACTTATTTATTATTGGACGTATATTCTCTTTTACGAATAGATATTCTATTATGAAATAATAAAAATAAAAATATATATATTATAACAAAAAGTACAGCCGAACATGAAGTTTATAGGATTTGATATTTTAAAATTGTGTAACAGAATATAAATCTTATACCTCGTTTTGTTTTTATTATGAATTATTTTTATATTTGTAATCTTCTAAAAATAATTATAGTTATACACCAAAAATGATTTTCACATATAAATTCTTTATGAACTAAGCTAAGATATAGAAAAATTTCAGATATTTTCAATGCTTTATTTGTTTTTAAATTAATGCTATAAGATAATGACAGTTTAGAACACTATTATCTGTTTAATATATTGAAATCGTAGCAATTGTGAGCGTTAGAAGTATTGAAAATATTATCTGAAAATTTGTTGCAAATAGTTATTATATTAGCATATTGACCTAGTATTATTTTTCAGCATTACTGACAAATTTTACTCCTCTTTATATCATATATACACCACTGTCTACAATTTATTAGAATTTGTAAATATCTTCGAAAAACTTAATTTGATTTTGAAAACGTAATAAAACATTGATTAATAATTTCTGGTTTGACAAATTCTATTGCTTGTTTATTTTAATATTTTACATAATAGATTTAGCATCTTAGATATGTAGTTAGTTAGATCAGAAAAAAAACGAATATCAAAAGAATGTATTAATTAAAATTGAATGAAATGAGTTGGTGATAAATGCTTTTTCTCCTTGTTAATTTTGATGAATTAATTGTGCATGCATCGGATTACATTTTAACATTATACAAAAGTACTTTATTTTGATCAAATTTTATACTTTTATTCTGGAAAAAGAAAATAATTCATGAGAATGACTGAAGGTATAATGGAATAAAAATATTTACAAAATCATGGTTTTATATATATTACAATTTTATATTTACAAATAATCTTGAAATTCATAATTACATTATATAATCACAAGTAACAATAACTAATTTGCTTATACATATATTTACATTTGAACAATTTTATTTGTGTAAAAATTTACAGATTTGGTCAAATTAGATTTTTATAAATTTGTAATTACTTCATTTTTTGTTTATATAATTTTATAATAAGTATAACACTTAACTATTTTTTTAAATTTTGTATATTTAAAACATCACACACCTATTTCATTTTAATTTATATTTTATACCACTTTATGTTTTATTTATAAAAGATTGTTTTTATATTTTATCTCTTTATATGGTATTCGCAATAAATACTAATGTAGAATTTTTTTTTATAGAACCAATAATATTTACATATATGATTAATATTTTATTGCAATATATAAAAGTAGAATATAACTACTTTTTTTAACTTAATATTTTCAGGCTATTGATAATGCATACACTTTCAATGTTCCATTTCTGTAAAGTATAATTAATGTTATTTTGAACTTTAGCAGAAACTTCTAATCTAGATGATAAATCGTATGTTCCATAAGCAGGAAAAATAGCTTGCAATTTGATTGTTTGTTGCTCATACGGCTCTAGTCTTAAAGTCAATGATGTTTGACCAACGTAACGAAAAGACGTTGAAGCTTGAGGTGAATAAAGTTTAGTTTTAATGTTTAGTAAAAGAGTTTGACTGAAAAAAAAACGAAAATTTACTTACATTTATTTTTAACACATATTTATAAAAATTATTTCAAAGTATAAATATAATTAAAGAACGTGTTAAGTGTGTAATATACCTGCTAGTTCCAACCGTATCAACTTTGACATTTACGTAAGATTCTGAATTATTTTGTATGTTTACCATAACTGGTACAATACATATTCGATTACCCGTAAAATCATGAGTAACATTTTTAGAGTACTTCAAATAAAACCACACTAAATTTTGTTGGCATTCCAAATCTGAATACTGATCATTTTTCATTGACGTTTGGGCATCTGATATATTAATATCAGGACCAAAAATTTTTAAACGTCCATTGTACTCAATTGGTTGTAATTGTTTTTCAATTGGATAATTATAGGATTTGTCTAAATAATGTAGATCAATGTAATGTTGACCAATTGTATTTCGAATGACTACTCCACCTTCCGTAACTTTAGCCTTCCATCTAATTATAACAATAGAATCTAATTTCATGCTAGATAAAATTGGCTTATCTTTCATTTGGATTCTCATTTGTTGATTCTCATTTTGAACATCATTGGCATCTAATGGCATGATATGTCTCTTTTTTATAAAACTTAAGTAAGGTATGTTTGCTGATACTTCTGAAATATTTTTGCTTAAATTTATATTGGATAAATTCAAATTGCCATCAGCTTTTCTGACAAGTTTTAATAAAAAGTGTCTTATTTCTTGAGGTTGTATTTTAATATCCCCATAAATATCGGCTGAATTTATTAGCATCCAAGCATCACTTTGAATAGCAATATCAGTTAATTCAATTTCATTCATAAATGGATCGTGTACTTGATTAGAATTTTTCACTTGCATTATTAAATTGAGCATGGAAAAATTGCCATTAATTATAGCGCTTCTTCGAACAATTGCGCTTGATTGAATAGAATCTAAAACAGTTAAATACCAACTATGGCGACTGAGTCTGTGTTTAAGTACACTCTTTGAATCAAAATTTTCATAGTAAAATAATAGATCTAGTCTATGATTTCCTTTTATGTGTGGTGCACAAATCCAAAGAGTCATTTTTAAAGAATCACCAACTAGTAGAGTATCATTTTTATTCGGAGGCAAAGAAATTTTAATAATAAGTTCATCCATTTTTTTTATTTGTCCTGCAAATAATAACAAAATTTAAGTTTGCTTTTTATAGAGTTAGAACATTAATGTCGTACCTTTTTTAAAATCTTGTTCCTGATCTACAAGGGCAAAGAGTTTTGGATTTGTGGAACCAAGATAGATATTTTTCAGTGGTGCATTGCCAATATTTGTCAAAGTTACTTCCATACGTTGAAGTTCGCCACATAACATTTCTGGTGAAAGAGGCGTAAATGTAATCTGAAATAAAATTAAAAATATTATGAATAAATTATAAAATCATTTTATTATATGGAATTAGAAAAAAAATTATTATTTTTAGTATTTGATAATGTGTAAACCTGCATAAATGGTCCTTTCTCAACAATGTTCATATCCAGTCTCAAATCTAATCCATAAAGAGATATTCCTGCTTTTTCTTTAAAATTTTTTAATTTAGGTCCTTGAATCTTAAATAAGCGTTTTCCACTAATAAGGGAAATTGTGCTTGAAATTGTTTGGTCGATTGATGTTTGAATTGGATTTGATAAATTATAGTTCAAGCCCAAGATTTTAAGTTGACCAATTTTTTTAGGTTTTAATGTCAAAACAACGGTTTGTTTTGATCCAGGTTGAAGTATAATCGAATCAATTTTTAAAGTTTCAACAAATTCTTCTTCGTATTCTACCGAACTTTCATTATTTATAATACATCCCTCATTATTAAATGACCAAAGTAGTTTTAAGTTAGATAAAGGTAATGGTATTAATAATGGATTGGATAACGTTATGCACAAGTATATTGGTTCCTTAACGACTGCATTTGGTTTATTTGCATTATTACTTGTATGAGTATAAATTGTAACTGTTGGTTTAAAAATCATTGGTGGAGTTCCTTGAGCTTTGGATAATAGAATTTCTTCGAGTTTAGACCACCTCACGTCATCAGCATCCTGACTAAATGATAATATTTGACTCACTAATTCAATGTTATTACCAGGCTTAATTAAAGGTCCTAATAATACTTTGATTTGATTATCTTCAATCAAAGGTAAAGGTAATATAGGAAGATTGGTTTGAGAAGATTTCTTCATTTCATGGGTTAACAACTAAAATACAATTTTACAATTTTATATATAAATTTTTCAAACTAACAATCAGGTATTTAATTGTATATATTAAAATAAAAAACAAATGAACTGGGAAAATACTAACATTGTGTATATATAAAAATTCTCTAAGAAAAGCTGCTTGCTGAAGAGCAGGTTGCTTACTAGTTGCACTTAGCAATTTTTCAAAAACAGTTACAGATTCTAAAACTTGTTTCAAAGATGCAGCTTGTCTACCGATAGTAAAGTGAATATGATCTTCTGCTAAAGACCATCCTTTATTTTTATAAACCTATAATATTAATGTTAACCATTTTTAATATATCATTAATGACATTAATAATATATTTTAAAAGTTAAAGCGAAAATTAATTATTTATTATACAAAATTATGTACCTGATATGCTTGTTTATAACAACGTAATGAATGTTTTTTTTGTCCAGCTTTTGAAAATCGATGACCAGCTAAAACTGCATGAAAAGCATACTTTCTTACCATCTTTGGAGAAATAAAGCAGTATGCAGCTTGTTCGAGTAGTAATGCTGATCGTAAATCAGAATCTTCGCTTGTCATCCGAATTAACTGCTTGGCTGCCTCCCCATATAATCCGCGATTTTTTAAACACTCTGCACTCAATAAAGTGGCTCTTGTCGCAAATTGAGACATTTTACAAGTGTTTAAGTAAGTTGTTATGGCATCATCCATGTATTCTATGGTTTTTCTAATCATTTCATCCATCATGAAAGCACTTAAAGCAGCCATTTCTAATGCACCAGCATAATAAACCCAAGCTTGATCCGCAGCAAAATCACGTTTAGCATTGTGATATGCTTGATAAGCAAATGTATAGTGACCAAACATAAAGCAAAGGTCTCCTAAACGTCTTAACTGTAATTCTGGTGATTCAGCAGTATATCTTAAAGTATTAGAAAATTTATTTAAATAAAAATGTAGTATTTGAAAATAAATATAAAGAAAATACTCGTACATTACAGCATTAGCTGGAGCAGAACCAGGAACACCTGGCTTATTTGTTCCAAACCACCTTTTTGTTGCACTAAATAAAGATTTACTCACACCTTTCTTATTTGAAATAAGATCGTTTAGCAAACTTATTTGTTTTTCAACATATGGAAGCAAACTCTTGAGACAAAAATCTGACATCATTAATTTTAATTTTTCAAGATCCTTGGTAGAAAGTCTAACACCGTGTTGGGGGATAGCATGTGTAGGGGAATCGGCCCAAACATTAATATTAATTGGAGAATTTTCATCCAAATGAGATCTCATACGATCTATATCATAAGATTTTATTGATAATTCGTTTTTTGGGCTTAAAGGATGAATAGTTGCTATTGTAGTTGGAGGGACAGCTTCTTGACCAACTTCCAAATGGGTAATAGGAGCTTCAGAAATTTCTGAAGAAATATTAATGCGTTCATTTCCATCTGGAGTAACTGCTGTAAAATTTTTTGATGTAACTGGTGTTCCAGTTTGACTAATCGATCTACAATCACATAAATAATTTGTATTATTGATAATTAAGTTTTTCAAATAAACATATACATTTCAGTTGCAAATGAAATATATGAAATAACTATAAATATAAATAATACATACTTTTCTGATTCTGTATTAACTGCATTTGGCATGGAGGACACACCAATAGTATCTGCAGGTGTGCGAGGAGAACTCTCATAATCGTTATTTCCAGAACAATCAGAATACTTAACTATAAATTGACTCCATGGATCTGGAAGTTGGGTACAGTCGTCCGAAACATTAAATGGTCTCGAATTCATTGGTAAAAAAAAGCAATTATTTGGACCATAAATATTTTTCATTTCCGTAAAAATATCTTCAGCTCTAAAAATAATGTTATATTTTCATTAATTGAAATATCTAAATATATCATTTATTTATATTCGTTCTTACATATTTTTATTATTTTGAAAAGTATCGTGTATTAAAATATAATATCTAAGAGCATTATTATTAAACCATTTGGGTAATTTTCCAGGAATGCTTTGATTTAATTGAGCACTTATTTGTTGAAGTTTTTCAAGTGGATTATCATCCATTGTTGATACAACTATCATACACGCTATAAAGTGCTTTGTAAATTCATGATCTGATGGAAATTGAACATTTAGAAAAGTATCTCTCCAAGCTTCGAACCAAGGAACTGATACAGGTATATCTAAATTTAAACTTGCTGTTGACACCACAGTCGTACGTTCATTATAAGTAAAATTAACAGATTCATTTAATAGTTTTCTAGCTATATTAGGTTCTGGAGGATAATAGTTAACATCTTTCACACAAATTTGTAACGATCGAATTAATATTGTTGTTCCATGCGGATCTTTTATGTGACCTATAAAAAAAAATTGATTATAAATAAAGTAGAATGTAAGTTTATTACTTTGATATCATATATATATTTAAAAATTTTAAAATTAAATTCTTAAATAAAAATTTTAATATATCTCATTAATGTAAATGAAAATAAAATTAAAATAAAAAATTCTTTTTCACATAAATAAAACAAATAACAATGAATATTTATTATTATACTTATATATAAAGTTTATTATATTATTAACAATTAATAAAACAACTATATGATATAAAGGAATATTAATTATAATTTATATGGTAAATTAAAATATCTATATTTGAAGATATAAAATTTATTGTTATTAAATAAAGAATTAAAATAGCAATTAATTACTTGGCAAATTTATATAATTGAATAATTATTTTAATAGCATAACTGGTATAAATTTTTGCATTCAATTTACTCAACTTTTTTATCAATATCTTGAAATTTTAGTACCATTATTATATTTTTTGGTACATGTCAATCAAAAGTAATTGTTTTATTATTAGTGTTATAAAAAAAACTTTTCATACCTTCTATATTAATTCTGCAAAAGGGTTGTAAAAGCTCTGTAAATGATAAATTATTCTTCTGACAGGTTGCTTCTGCATTTACTGAACAAATGGCAGCCACTTGTGGCGAAAAGGCATTAATTATAAATTCCCGTGGAGTTAATTTACATTGAGCCATAATTTAAATTTAGTCTAACTTATAAGTTTTGAAATACAATTAGATCCACTACAACAAACACTAGTAGTATTTTTGCCTTTAATCATTCACATGATTGTTAACAGCATAACAAAAAAACGTTATCATAAAAGTCATCCTGACATTTTTATTTTAAAAAGAGCAATATGATTGAAAGATGAAGATTAATATTTATTAAATTATATATTCAATACAAAATATAAATAGAAATATTACCAGATGGACCTTTAAAAACAATAATTAGCCTAATGATGTGTGTTTATAGTTCAGTTTAAGATTTATTCCACCATTTGAAAGATGAAAGAGCGCGAATATTTGATATAATTGAAATTAAGAGAAATGTAATAATTAGCATTTAATGTATAAAAGAACAATCAAATTCTTTAAAAATATAGGATTACCGAAAATACGGTTAAATTAATTATAAATATATTCGTAAAATCATAAAAGTAAATATAAACAAATCATACTAGCTAACGGTATCGTCTTGTAATTTACACAAATAAATATTTAATTACAAGATTAGAATAAAATACTTTGCACTTTGTAGCAACAAAACTAAGCTTGGGTGTTCCATAATCTCATTCGTATCTAATTGCTACTATGCACCAATTATTCTGTAATTAAACATTAACCATCGAGAATATTTCAACCGGAAGCACTTTCACTTTTTGTCAAGTACAAACAATAGGTCATTGATTTTTTATAAATCATAAAAAAATATATAAATTCGTTCTTATACAAATGCTTATCCACATTTTTTAATTTGGCTTTTCATCTGACTTCTATTATTAACTTTCATACCAGGTTTCACTTTCCATCACATAAGACAACGAAATGTCACGTATCAGTCATTTTAATTAAATATATTCGAGTAATGCAAATTCATAACTAGTATTTTGGACTTTAATATGGAAATCGGTTAATACTCAATGTAGAAATGAACTCTCAATTATAATATTTCAATGTATTAATTTTTTCCAATTGAAAATTAAAAACAATTTTATAAATAGATTTATTAATTTTTTCTAATATGCATAATATTTTCCTAATATTATAGTAAGTTTAATTTAAATATGGTACCTATAACTTAAAGGATATTTAAATTAAATGAAATTATCAATGCTTCCTAATAAACTTTTGAAGATGCAAATAGTTAATGTTATTTACGCCCTGGATAAATAAAAAATTTATAGCTTATAAAATTTTTAAGTTTACATAAATTGCAAAAATAATTTTGACAATATATAAATGAATTTTTACAGCGTTTGCCAATATGCGTATAAAAGGAATCAAATCCTTAATATATAGTCCTTTTATAAATAATGGTTAGCCTTTCGAATTAGCTTTAAAGAAATTAATTGTCGGATGAATGAAGATTATGAAAATGTTCCTTTATAAAACTTCTCTCTAATAAAACGTCCCTTTATTAACGTGTATTACTTACTTGTTCTTCTAATTAGTAATAACTATATTAATAATAATAATTAGAAATAAATATTTGAATATAAGTAAATTAATTATTTAATAATTTTCGATTTTATTTAAATATATTATAAATAATTGAAAAAATGTTAATAAATTTATTATTATTATCGATATTGAATTAATGATTCACATTATTTTAATTATTCTAAGAAGTATTGTTTAAAATATACTACTGACTTACCCAATTCAGAAGTGAAATATAAGAAAATTTTAACGTTAAACTACATGAAAAAAATCAAAATTTAAAAACAAATTAATTAGTAATGTAAATTTAAATCTTATTAATCGAAGGAAAAATTTAATTCAATTAAAATAATCAAGCGTATTTTGTATATATTTAAAGAATTTTGTTTAAATTTATATTCGTAATAAACTTAGTTATTTAAACAAGAAAACGTTTATAATTTGATTAGCTTCTATGTCATTCATTAATAAAATTTTATATGATTTTAATATAAGTGGAAGTAAATTAAAATTACTGCTCAAATATATTTTTATTATTAAAATATTGTCTATTTTTATAATTAAACATATTTAGTTTCTTTTATTTAAACAATTTAATGAATATTATCGAAAACGAAGTTTGTTAGCCTATTAATTTGTATTTTGTTTTGTTTTATATCATATTCAAGGTTAAAAGTTGTTTCCAAAATTTAACTGCGTCTAGCATTTAATGAGAAAAATATGATTTATAAAGAAATAAAGCGAATCAACATTGAAGTATGTGTATATATATTTGTATTTATATTAGTTTATTTAAATATGCTAAAATCATATAAAAAAGACAGATTACTTATTCATATAATACTTAGAAAAAATAATGTATTATTTTGTTCATGTACGAATTATAAATTAAGATTGTTCGTTTAAAGGTACGTACGTATGTACGTTGCTTACATGGAAAATTTGTATTTTTTGGACAATTATATTGAAGGTTAAAAACGACTTCTTATTCATCAATACAAGTAAAAATAATCGCTTAAAAATTGATGCAAGAATCAAATTATACGATTTCGTTTTTATAAATTATTAAAAATCAGTCAAACTTATGATACATAATAAAAATATTATTTTTTACTTTATATCAAATATAAACAAAAGAAGAGGGGAAAGAAAAGGCGTGCCCCTTTACTTAGGCCATTTTGTAATGCGTTGTGCTCGAATGGTGATCGTTCCGTCAGGGGCTGAAGAAAATATATAATACATTATAATTAGTGTCAATAATATATCATTTTGTAACTTCTCTAAGTCTGCTGAAATAATATTTGTATATATTGCAAGAATAATTTTTGTACATAAATCGAGGCCGTTATAGAGTATGATTTGAAGCAAGCAACAAAATGAGTTGACGTTGACGGTTTGTTGATGGCTCCCCCCCCCCCCCCCCCAATTCCAGTGTTTTCTCTTAATTTTCTTTTTGATGCGTAAAGTAAAAGTGCCTATAAAAAATATTACAAAATATCTTTGATAAAATTTATTTCAAGAATTGATGTAACTAAAACGAAAACGATGGGAGAAGTCATAGGTAAGGATATTTTCTTTACATACATTACGAATAGATCGCCCTTTTGTTTTTCTAACGGCTGATTGCTACCTGTTGCATTTCGCATGTCAACTTAATTCATGGACTACTTTTAATGTAAATATTTTTCTTTCAGAAATTTTAAAAGTAGAAAATACTTACTTGCCGCAGGATGGCATAAGCGAAGTTGTTGTTGGTTTGTGATGTTACATTTTTATTTTTTAAGTTATTATTTATGGAACTAAATTTATGTATTTTACAGCTGATTTATTAGTCAAAAATTCACACGACGATACACTTATTATACCTGATATAATAGATGCTGGAGAAGGTATATATCATCCAAATTTAATTAATAATTTTTAATAAGTTGATTAAACATTAACAATGCTTTTTATATTTTATAGTTATTGCTGAAAATGGTCAAATTATACAAATTATTGGAGATTATGAGTGTGTTACTTGTCATCGTATTTTTCCCAGTGAAAATGTACATATAATCATTACCATTTTTACTTTATTGTTTATTTAAGATTATTGATTTCTGAGCATTTTAAAAATATTGTTTGGTAAAATTTAGAAGTAAACTTTTTAATGTGAAAGTATTATATAAAATAAATATATAAGAAGCTCAATCTTCATAATACGTTTAGATTTAAGTGGTTTATTATAGCATGGATAAAACAATATTAAAAGTATTATACACACATATATATAATTACTGTCATAGTTACATATTTATTTTATGTATTTTTAATATAATTGCTTAAAGAGTACTTTATCTTAATAGATGTTAAAGGAGCATTTACAAGTATGTAGAGAAGACGATGACACTGATATTATAGAATTAGGTAGAATGGCTGATTTAGATTCAGAAGATGAAGATGATGGAAATATCGATGATCCAGATTATAATACAGATTCAAGTGCATTAGGTATTAATTGGTTTAATCTAAAGTTTTTACATAATGTGTAATTAAATTTTATAATTGAACAAATTTATATGTTGATATTAATCATTATAGATTCTCAATGTTCTAAGAATAATAATAAAAAAATTGCCATTAAACCTGTAGCAGAAGATCAATGCCATTGCTGTGCAGAAGATTTAAAAACCGCTCATTCTGGTGGTTTATTTAAATGCTCAAATTGTGATATGTCATTTAAAAAATCATCGTCTTTAGAAAGGCATTTAATTGTCATACACTGGGAATCTGATTCATGCACATGTAGTGACTGTGGTTCAACATTTCGTGACAAGAAAGCCTTAGATAAGCATCGATATACAACACATGTGAAAACCAATAAAGTGTACAGATGTGATAAATGTGATACTTATTTTTCAAGAAGCTACCATTTAAATCGTCATAAGCAACAATCAGGCTGTCATGGGGATACTAGCAATAGTTTTGCATGTCAGGTATAAGATAAAATAAAATACAAAGTATATATTTATTTAAGGAGTACCTAAAAGTATAATTTTATACAGGTTTGTAAGAAAGTTTTTACTCGTAAGGATAATTTACGAGAACATTTGCGAACTCATGCTGGAATGCCACAAAGAAAAAAAAAATCCTGTCAGCTTTGCCCAAAGCAGTTTTATACTAATCAACAATTAGTAATTCATCAACGTATGCATACTGGGGAGAGACCAATAGAATGTGATTTATGTCCCAAAACTTTCTTGTCTACATTAGCTATGAAAAAACACCGTAGAGTTCATACTGGAGAAAAACCATTTGAATGTAAATATGTAAGTTAATTATAGAATTTCATTGATTCAATATGTATTGATATTTACGTAACAAAATAAATCAGAATTTTTTTAAAAATTTTGTTTACCTCGATTTCAAGCTGTCATTAAGGATTTGAAGATATGAAAATTTGTAAGTGATCATAAAAAATTAGAGGTGTTAATTGTATTCTATTTATGTGGTAAATTTTTTATTTAATTATTTATTTTCACAAAAATAAAAGTTTGAGAAGTATTTTATGTTGTAATTTATATTAGTATTAGTTGTATAATTTTGCTTTCTATTTTTGTTTTGTATTATAATTAATAATATGTAAGATAAAACTAAAAGTTAATATTTTTCAATTATATTTACTTTTTTTATTCAGTGTCAAAAAAAGTTTGCTGCGAGAGAAACATTAAATCGTCATCAACGAACACATACTGGAGAAAAACCTCATGTTTGTCAGTATTGTAATAAATCTTTTATCCAGGCAGCTCAATTACGGGCTCACATATTTCATCATACAGGAGAAAATGGTTTTTACTGCGATGTTTGTGGAAAAGCTTTTAATCGTAAAGCACGTCTTACCAATCACAAAAAATTTGTTCATGAAGGTGCGACACCATTTAAATGTGAAATATGTGAAAAAGCATTCACACGAAAGGAAGACTTATCTAAGCACATAAATTTACATGCTGGAATTAAACGTAAGTTATTTTTTATTTTAAAATATGCTAAATAATGATGTATTTTAACTTTTGTTACGTAACAAAGAAACTTTATTTTATTTCAATGCATAAATAATAGATTTAATTTAACTTTTAATAATTTCATCATTAATATCATTTATTCAGAAATAATGTATTACAAATAAATATTTTTCATTAAAATATTATATTAGAAAAATATTTGATACATTGTTTTTCAGTTTAACAAAATTTATAAATAATAAATATAAACACGCTGACTTTTATGAAATGTTGAATATTTTATTCATTTTTCATTTACAAATAAAGATTCTGATTTAAATTATTTTAAAAACTAAAGCAATAACTATATTGTGTAATTATCAGCTCATAAATGTGACACCTGTGGAAAATGTTTTGCTGCTAAATCATCGTTACAGGCTCATATGAATACTCATAGGCGTGAGCCTCCACAATCTTGTGCTGAATGTGGAAGAGCATTTATTCGTCAAGACTGTCTTATGCGACATATACGAGCAAAACACAGAGATCTTTTGGAAGATGTACTTGGAGAAGCAGAAAAGAAACATTTACAATTGCAAATGTTTAATATTGCTTATACAGCGGCAGAAAAAATGAAAACTGGAGAGACAAATATTCTTTCAACTAATGAGTTATTGAAAGCAATTACAGAATTATTAACTGTTCTTATAGAAAAAGAAACGCTTGAGGTATGACATCTAATTACATTTAAAAACGATCTATGTTTATATTTATCAATTATATTTATATTTATACAATAATTTATATTTATCAATTACCATTGATATTTAATGAATAATAAATTACAGGCGTTTAACGATGTATAGATGATAATGATATATTTACGATATGTTTTTTCTATTACTTTTTATGATAATTAAATTATAAAATATTTAATTTTTTAACCTTTATATATTATTTAGAATAATATTTAATTATAATTTTCTTATATTAAAACAAAAAAATCTTACCAAGAATAGTGTAAAAAATGTTGTAAATATTTATTATTAATATATATTTTCTACTACATAATTAAATTTTAAAAATTTATTTAATTTAATATATGAACTAACTACTATTTTATAAAGTAGTGAAAATAATTTTAAATTATATATAATTTAATGTATTTTATAAAAAAGCTTATATTACTATTTTATAATACGGTTAGTTTATCTTTTATTTATTATTCAAATTTTTTCATTTTAGTTATTTGGTTGGTTGCAATCGCCTTTGCAAGATGTTTTAGAAGCTGTTATTCGCAGATGCGGTCATGAACCACTTACATCAGAAAGTGATTTATCACTTTCAGAGAGGTTAAGGGGAAATGTTAAATTATTATTTAATGCTGTTATTGAAGATGAGAATGTAAAGTCATTATTAACGACCCAAACTGTTGATGAAGTAATTATGCATGTTCTTAAATTGTCAAAAAATAATAAAGAATCTGAAGAGAAATAGTAAAATCATAAATAAATTCTAAATTTTAATTGTTTGAAAAGGGTTTTGTCACTGCAAAATTTTTATAAAATTGATATTGCTTGAAAGCTTCAAAATTTCTTTCGGTAAAATTTAAAATCTATGTATGAGCCAAATAAATATAAGCTGGGACACTATTTCAGATAAAAATTTTTTAATGTAATATTTTTAAAATTCCATGAGTATTAGATAATGTAATTTTATGCAGAGTAGTATTTTTATTTAGGTTAATCGTGAAAAGCTAAAGTAAAGATTATTGATTGTTTCTAATAAATTTGTCTTGAAAAGGTCCTGCGCCATATTTTAATAAAATGATAGAAAAAATATATTGATAATAGTACTTTGATAAAAAAATTTTTAACATAGAAATAAATTATCGAGTATATGTCTTATTATTGTACCATTACAATAAATTACTTTTTAAACATAAATTGCACGTAATGCATTTGTAACTAATTAAAATATCTTTAAATATTGTAAATTTAATGGTTTTTAATCTTACTAAAATTTTTAGATTGTACTTAAAAAAATTCTATGATAAATAACAATTTAATGTTTCGGTTTATTAAAAATTTTTCAATAATAACATATGAATGTGCAATATGAAGCTTTTTTCAATTTTAGAAATATATCAAGAATGCAAATTTTTTTATTTAACCATATTATATAAAGTATTAAGTTAATAAAATCTTAAAAAAAATTTGTTACAATACTGATTCATTTTTAACATTATTAAGTTTAAAATTCATTAAATTGAAAATATATATATTAAAATAATAAAACAAATATATTAAAAAAGTTTTTATTAATAGAAATAGTATATGGTTGCATTGCTATTGAGAATATTGCACATTCTTTTACAAATTTATTTCTCGTGATAATATTGATTTACGAAAATAAATAAATAAAATAATATGGAAATTTTATATGAAATGGTGCAGGACAAGTTATAACTTACAGTAAACAAAAAGATTCTTATTTTTTTCTTAGAAGTTAAATATTATTCTCTGATTAATTTATAAGCTAGAACATTTAAGTTAACTACATATTGACTTAATTGTCATGTTTATTAAAAAAAAAATTGAAGTAACATTTTTATAGAAAAGAATGTGTCTTGTTATGATTCTATATTTATCAATTTTAATTTTTTTTTTTTTTTTGTTAGTGAATAATTTAGAAATTTATAAATGAACTGTTGTATATATTTTGAAAGGACTGATTTTTCTTTACAACAATATACAATTGTATAAATAAACTAACAATTGTACAAATAAAATTATAAATTTAAAGATTATTAATTTACTGTTATAATAAATATTTGTTCAAAATTTAGTTGTATTATTTTTTAAATATCCTTGGAAAAATATTTATTTCTAATGATAGTTTATTTTTAGTTGATATTGAAAGATTTAATTTGACATTTCATTTGAATCAAATGTTTATTTATTATTCTTAATTGCCCAACCATCCTTAATTACCTTGCTAATACCAGGCCCATTGAAAATTAGCACTATGAGTCCAGCAAATGTGAAGACAGATGCGACATATAATAAACTAAAATAAACTTTACGAAGTATATGTGAGCCTGTTGATGCATAATCTATAATAATTGCTTCTATACCCCTGAAAAATTGAATAGTAATTATTATAATTTGTTTAAATCGAAAATAAAATATTTGTAATTATACATATGTTGATTTAAATATTATTTGATAAATACCAATGAATGTGTATCACAGAAACAAGTGCTAATGTAGTATCCAGAATAGGATTTTCAAATATTAAACACAAAGGCAATAGTGGTACAAGTGTAGCTGATAATATCCTTTCAAGTTTCCACGTTTTAACATGATTTCCATCATGCGTAATGTGAAATCGCTTTTGAATCAGGTTGTTTCTAATAACTTTTGTCAACTGTTCAATAAATATATTTTTAAAACAATTATTCAAAAGATTAAATAAATTATTAAACATACATATAAACATAAATGATAATAAATAGCAACAATTATTATCATACCTTTAAGGAAGATAAACAAGGACAATTTTTAGAAAAAATTGGCTTAGATATAATGTCTGAAGGTTCTGAGTATGTTCTTGTAATAGATTTAATAGAATAACATCTTAAACCATTAATATTTCCCTGCTTTCCTTAAATTTATTTTAAATATATATTTTAATATTAATTATATAACACAAGCGATATAGATTTAATTCTTCTACTCACTTAATAACAATAAACTGCGCAAAGTTGTAAATTTAAAAACTTTTTCCAACATCTTTTTATTAATTAAAACCAATTATAGTTTTAATAATTTTATATGTAAATGTTTTTAATTCCAGTAATAAAATTATTTATTTTCTTGTATTAGAAAGAATAATCTTTTAACTACTAAAATTGACTTCAAGAAGAATTTCTATCACACAATTTTATATTAACATCGTTGCCAAATGTTCAAGTAATTCATTTAAATTTGATAAAATTATATTTATTAATTAGTATAATTTTAATGATATTTCAATAAAAAAATAATATTAAAAATCAGTTTATCCAATTAAAATATCTATATTTATAATTTAAAGTCTATTCAGTATTAATTTTAAATTAGATGATATGAATATTTTTAGTCTTTTAGTAAGTGATTAAACATAGTTCTAGGACATGCTAGGTTCGTGGATCAAACCGACAACACTGTTTTAATTCCTGTTTATAAAATTTATGAGGTTATAATTTCGTATTCAGAATGTTTATAACAAAATTGTAATTTTATAATTAAATTCTAAAACTATGTTTCCATTATTAGGATAATGTTAGAAAAAATTAAGTTAGAATTTAAAAACTTAATCCAAGAAGTCAAAGGTATAAAGTTTTTTATCAGTTTCTTTATTAATAAAATGTAAGTATATTTTAATACCAAATTTTATAAATATGCTTGCTTTATAGAATGCCGTTTAAATTTTATTTAAAAAAAAGCCGCCAATATAACGTTGTTTCTAAAAATCAATATGTAATTTGTATTGAACTGCTGGACTCAACATCTATAGAATGCACTTTAAGTGTTGACAGCCTTGGTCAGGAATGTTTGACTAATGTAACACAAAGACTTGGTCTAGGTCAACCAGAATTTTTTGGCTTATGTTATGTTTGTAGACATGGTACACCATCTCCTCGGTGGATAGATATGGATAAACCATTGAAAAAACAATTAGAAAAGGATGCCAAAGGTTTTAATTTATATTTGAGAGTTATGTTTTATATTACAGATGTTCAATTTATTCAAGAAGAAATGACAAGGTAATCCAAAAAGAATTTAAATCTATTTAATATTAGATATATTCAAATATTTTAGATTTTTTATTTTAATTAATAGTTTTTTAATTACATTACCAAATTTTTATAAATATAACTATAAGAATAGTTTTTTAATTACATTACCAAATTTTTATAAATATAACTAAATATAATTCGTATGATTATTAAGGTTGAATGAAGTAGATCTTATCAATTTTATATATTTTTTTATTTTATTAGATATCATTATTATCTTCATTTAAAAAGTGATATTTTAGAAGATAGAATACATTGTCATCCTCATCAAGCTACTGTTTTGGCAAGTTATTCTATGCAAGCCGAGTTTGGCAATTATGATGTAGAACGGCACCAACCTGAATTTCTTCAACAGTATACATTTTTTCCAAAAGTAAAATAAATGAAAATTATAAATATTAATTTTTTTATTAAATAATTTTTAATTTACTTTTAATTTTAGTCAGTTATCGAAGCTGAACCAGATGGACAAAAAGTACTTTTAAATAGTTCGTTATGTCAGTATAAAATGATAGCTGGAGTTACACAAGCAGCTGCTGAAGAATATTATATTACGATGGTTATGCAATTAGAAGGATATGGACATGAAACATTTTCTGCTAAGGTAAATGAATCGTTGAAATGTATCGTGTTAGAAATTTAAATAAGTTTAAATATTTTAAAATATTATTAACATCTTACAAATATTATAAAACCTTTTTGCAGGATGAAAGTAATAGTGAAGTGGTTCTTGGTATTTCTATTAATGGAATTATGGTCTGCAATCCAAGTACACAAGCCACACATTTTTATAGGTAAATATTAACACCCGTAAGGAAATAAAAAATTAATAAATTTTAAAATAAAAATATATTTAAAATAGATGGAAAGATATAAGTAATGTTATAAATCATAAAAAAATATTCAGAATAGAATGCCAAACAGAAATAGAATATGCAAAACAATTTACTTTTCGAGAGTCACGTAATGCAAAATATGTGTGGCGATTATGTATAGCCCAACATACATTTTACATGCAGCATCAACAAATACAACCTCCAGAGCGACTGACAAACAGCTATTTTGTAAGTTTTAAAAGTTTTTATATAAAAAATCTATTTTAAACCATCGATATTTATTAATATTACTAAAATTTCATATATTTTATAAATAATTTGTAATATTACAAGTATTACGTAATTTAATTAAATAATAATCATAATTTTCTAATAATACTATTAAATATTAATGTATTACATTTTTAAAGCTGTTCAATAATAATTCTCAAAAAATTATATGAGATTCATGAAACATATTACATAAATTATAAATTTTTATTCAAATAATTAATTTAGTAATTGTTTTAATGTTTTTGATAAAATGAAACATATTAATCTATATAGCATAGAAGCCATGATAATAATTACATTATATTTTAGTAAAGTAAAAATGTGTATATTATGTCGAATTTGTCATTACTTGTTGATATTAGAAATATAATTATTTATTTGTTAATTACATACTTAATTATTTTTCAAGATAAAAAATAGAAGTATTTAATAAAAATCCATTGTAATTCAAATATTTACAAAATTTCTACATATTATAATTTTTATCTTTTATATAATTTTAAGATCTTGTAAAATAATATTGAAATTTATTATATAATGAAAAATTTAAGTTTTGATAATTTACTAGTTTTACCTCATAATTTTTAAGCATAAAAAATATATATACATATTACAATTAATAATAAAATTATTATATTTATTGTTTAACATTTTTTTAATATTTTCAAACTTTTTCACCATTAAAGTTATATATGGTTCATTAATGTTTTAGGATAATGATATTAATGATTCAAGTGAACAAACTCCCTCTGTTAATTTGGATACTAATGGAGTTGAAGACTACACTCATTGGACAAGTTACAATGACCTTTCAACTTCACCATGTCCAGTTGTATCAGTTTCTACTACAGACATTAATAATTTACGTGCCTTATTACCTTCATATAGACAAGCGCCAGATTATGAGACTGCTATACAAATGAAATATAATAATAATGCAAATAACTCACAACCTTATTATGCTAATCAATCTACAATTGTCGGAGCAGATTTATGCTTGATTGGTAATGTTGTGAATCACAACAGATATTAATTATAGAAGTTTAAGAAATCAGTTACACTTGTAATTATGCAATACACCTTAAAATTCTGATTATTTACGCATTATAAAGAAATTATTTATAAAATAAAAATTATTACTTTCATATAATTCATGATTTATCATATAACTGTGTAAATTAAATTAAAAATATTTTTAAGAAATGTAATACTTAAATATTTTATGAAATAAATATATTAAATTTGCTTGAATTATATAATCTTTATTAAAAATTTTTTTATTTTGAATGATAAATTAAATTTCAAGATTTCAAGTAGATTTGCATGTAAAAATCAATCTATGTATAATATATTCATGCGAATAAATTACTAAAAATAAAGTATATAATATAAAATATCTTTGTTATAATTTATTAGTTAAAGAATAAAACTCAATCAATAAACAGCTTATTAATGATCTTAGTCAAAGCTTTTGGTTCTGGTTTTTCAGCTACTCCATGAACTGTAATGTTAAAATTTAATAAAGCTTGTTCTGTTACAGGCCCAATAGCAACAATTTTATATGTTTGAAGAATACTTATTTCATTACTTATAGCTATAATTATATTTTCTACAATTGAAGGACTAAAGAAGACTAATACTTGTGGCAACTGTATCAAGGCTTCATGTACTGATTTTTTCAAAGAATCATGAACTTTTGTTTTGTATATAACAATTTTTTTAACACTAATGTTTTCTTCCGATAACATTTTTAAAATTGTATCTTTAGCAATATTACTACATGGCAGTAGTAAGGGTTTTTTACAGTTTTTTTTCCAAGTGTTAATAATAAAATTACCAAGATTTTTAGCATTTCCAGAATCACTTCCAAGAATATAACTTAATCCAATTTGTTCTTTTGTAATTAATTCGGTAGCTTGTCCAATACAAAATGTGGGTAATTTTAACCAAGGCTCGATGCAAATTGGATTTTGTATTTTTAACATGGCTATTGCTGCAGCTGCTCTTGGACTTGTTAATATTAGACCTTTAATATTTTAAATAAAATATTGTTAAATAATAATTTCTTAGGTAATGATAATAATAATAGTTATTATTATTATTATTATGACGATAATGACAACAAAGTATATTTTGTTACCGCTATAGGATTCTGCATCGAGTAAATGCTTCTGTAATTCATCTTGATTAATAAATTCAAAATGTAATACTTGTAAGATTTCACATTCAAAACCACTTTCTAATAAAGATTTTTTATACTGATTTTCAGTATTATTAGTTTCATTTAAAGCTCCAGTACATAAAAGGACTTTTTTTTTAGTGATTGGCATCATGACTTCCTAAAATTTCTTTATACTATTAATTTCCTGTCGATTTTAAATTATTGAGCATAGTATTACTTCGAACAGGTTATATATAACCTTCGTTTAATTAATTTTTAAAAATGAAGTTAAGTTTCACTTTTCTATATATCTATATTTATATAGTTCTTTAAAAAGTTTGCTTAATGTTTCTTTGCATATAGTAGTAAATATTTAATTACAAAAATATATAAGTACCTCAAAATATAATAAAAACGAAAATTGTTAAATCACAAGTACAGATAATTTTTTTATCAAAAAGCTTGATAATTAGTATTCTTTAAATAAATTAAATAAACTAAATTATAATTTATTTTTTAAATATTTTTTAATTGTTAGATTTCTACATATTTAACTAGCTAGATATTTAACTAATATTTTGCATTTAATTTCCTAATGTCTGTTATTGAATTTTTGTTAATATTTTTTTATCATTAGTTAAATGCTAGGTACAAGTTGTAAAAGAAAAAACTTTATTAACATAACCAGATACTTTAATTATGTGGTAAAAGGACAGTGTACAGTGAATCGAGAAAAAAAATTATCAACAGTTTAATTATCATTATAAGCATAATAAATATTAAAAAATTGTAAGAACATACGAAATTGTAAACTTAAAAAATTTATAATACATGATTTATTTATTTGTTATTTGTTTGCTTTGTTTACATTACAAATGCAAACATTATAATTGACATTTTTTACACTATAAAACATTTAAATTTCAATTAATTTTGGTTCTTGAATATTTAATAATTGCGTAATTAGCCCATTTGGCAAGCAATTATTAAATATTAATTACATTTATTGATAGTTTTATAATATATTGATCGAAATTATATTAAAAATCAATATTAATTAAAAAACTTTGGATGAAAATAATATAGACTGCTTTCAATATACCAGTAAGCATATTAATGTTAGTACTTGAATTACAATTAACTTTATAAACTTATTTATTCTTTTCTTTTAATCATATTTTTTGTCTATTCAATATTATTTTTGAAGCATGTACTAAAGTTTACAAATATGACAAGGTAATTTTTAATTATTCTTTATCATAGAAATTTTTTTTTATTTCTTGGTTAAATATGTTTTTTAATATAAAATGTTTAAGCTATTTCTCTATTGAAGTCTTTTGAAATATATTGTTAAGAAAAATATTAGCTATACAGGATCTTTAACAATTAGTTATGGATATATGTCGCTCATGAACTTAATTTAACCAAATTAGTATTGTAGTTAAAAATCAGAATATTTTTGTTTGTTCAAGCATTTTAATGTAAACTTTAAACTTTTTCTTATTATGAATTTTGAATTCCGCATAAATATACTACACATTCTTAAATTTATAAAGAATTTATAAAGAAAAATAGTTTCTTGTATTTTTACCTTATTTTTATATATCTTTCAAAAATTAAATTAAAAAATTTTAATTAAGCATATTTATTATATTTAAAAATATATTTTAAATAAATGAACCTGAATATAGATATAAATATATTATAATTTCAATTAATGTATTTCCATTAATTTTAGGCAGTTTTTAAATGATCGACACACTAATAGTAATTTTATGAACAAAGCAAACATAAATATAACCTAACGTTTAAGCAATTTAAAATATTAAGAAACAAAGTTTAGACGATACTTTTTAAAATCATTATTAATAATTTTTTTTAGTTACAGAATTAAATAAGAAATTTTATGTCTTTATGAACAAATAAATTAGGTAATTAAAAAAAATTTTATAATTATTTATATACACATTATACAGTTCAGAATACACACTTATTTCGAGTATAATTTAATTTTTTATGAATATATAAAAAATAAAATTAATTTTTTATATAGAAATTATATGAGTATTATAGTTAAAAATATATATTTACTTTGATATACATTCGTTTTATATAATAATAAGGTTTATAATTTTATATTATAATGTTTTAAAAATTATAAAATTTTTGCATTAAAATTTTAATAAAAAATCATATAACTTATATATGATGAAGTTTTTTCTAATTCTTTTACTTAATCCAATAACAATCGATTATAACCTACTAATTAATTGATATTAGATTTTATTTTTGTTCGATAAAAGTAAATATAGTACAGTAAATAGAAACACATAACGAAATTTTTTTTTTAATTTTCATATAAAAATTTATTTTATTTAAAAACTAAAATATAGATTTTATGTAGTAATTACCCATTATAATTGGGAGACTGTATGATACATACTAGAAAAATGTATATTTCTAATTATCTTGTTTATATTTTTAATGAGCTTTGGGTTTGACTGATTTAATTTTTTTTAATTTTTTTAGTCCATTTATATTTGTTTTAAGTAGATTCCAATAAGCTTGTTGAAATTTATTCACATCTTTAGAATGAATCTGAAATCGAGATAAATAATTATTAATTTAATAATAAACGAAAATATAATGTTTATACATTTTCTATAAAAACAAAATTTTTAACTCTTGTTAATAAATATTTTATAAAAAAATATGTTTTTAACTTAAAGCATATATAAAAATAAATATAGAAATAAAAGTAAATATAAAAGTAATATATTACTGATTTTATTATGAAAAGTTAATAACAATTTATAACAATATTAATTTTTATTTTGTGCATTTGGAGTTATTATAAAATGTACTTACAACTGTGGAAAGTTTTTTTGATTTAAGTTTAGCTCGTACTAAACAAAAATATTCTGATGGTGGTGGGAGAGATACTTGACCTTTCCTTGATTCAGGTTTATTATGCCCATTATCTAAAATATTACGAGTATTGTAAAATAAAATTTCAAAGTAGTATAATTAAATTTTAATACATTTATTCTCCATTCTTTGGTTAAATAAGTTATAACTTACATCTCTTTATAGTAAGTGATACAGAACCATTCGATCGTGATCTTTCAAAAAGTTTGTTAAGCTCCAATAAAAACTACAAAAAGAAATATTTAGAAATAAATGATAAAAATGGAAATAGCAATGATATTTAATTTTACCGCATCATTCTCCAATAAAACCATTCCGAAAGTATACCATATGTCATCGACGTGTCTCTGCAAATTATGACGTTCAAAATTGGAATGGAATCGTAATCATTTATTTTTGAGGTTAAATTAATTTAATTCTTACTGCAATTGCTATTTCTACGTAATGTTATAATATAAAAAATTCATCATTTATTATGAAATGGAAAAAATCAAATTATAAATTAAATACGATATATCAGTTTGTATTTAATTAATAAATGGTCCAAAACCCCGAAATGGCTGAATTTTCAAATATTGGTGTAGAAATAAGCCATAAGTCACAATGTATTTATAAAAATACACTTAAAAATAAAGAGAATGATTTAAGTTCATTAATTTTCAATTTAAAATCAACGCAACAAAAAATTAATAAAACCCTGACGACGCTTATCGAACTAGAAGAAAGATCTAACGAAGGTTGGTTGATGATTGTATTTTATAAATTTGTTTATTGTTTTATAGTTATTGTCTTATTGTTGTAATGTGAAATTTTTTTTTTTTAATAGACCTGTTATCAAATAGCGATGAATCTAAAGAGTGTAATAATTTAGATAATAGAGATGGAAATAAAAAATCTAAAAAATATAAATGTGAATAATTATGTCCAATCTTCATATTAATATAGCTTTTTAATATAATAAATGATGATTATAATCTGTAAATATTCATTCTTTTCATTAATATTTCATTATCTTATATACCTTTAATATAACTTTGTAACTATATAATATAAATAGGAAATGTTTATTATTATGTATATCTTGGAACTAAACAAATATAGATAAAGACCAGAATTTTATTTGTATTTCTATTCTAGATTTTCATTATTGTAAATTAATCATTATTAAATAATGTCGAATTCTTAGTACATGCTGATAATTTTTTTATATACAGGATGTAATTGTGAACAACCCATGATTAAAATATAATAATTAATTTTCAGTTCATATAAATAAAAATATAAATAAATTCATATAAATAAAAAAAAATAAATAAAGATACATTGTTATCTATAAGTATAATATTTTAATTATTTCATTAAAAATTTTTATCTTAAACATCTATCAATCTTTCAATAAACTCATAGGAATTTAAATTTTGATATAAAATTTACTATTTAATAAGTGGTTGATAAATCGAGTAAATTAAAATAAGATTTATACAGGGATAGGTTATTTATATTTAATTTTTAAAACTTTTTATTTGTATCGACTAATTTTAATATATTGAAATACCAAATACGATTTTTTGAACTTTTTTGGAAGTTATCCTTTATCCCACATTTAACAAAGCAGTTAAATATTCGAGTTTTATCTTAGAACTATGAAAGCATCTTGTATTAAAAAGTTTATGAATGTTATACAAGGAGGTAAGATAATGTTTTTTTTTAAATAAATACATTAATAATTTCAATTTTATATTTAATTCTTTATTTGTTATTATAATACTATTTATTTATAAAACAACAAATCTTTTAACGAATTTGTTAAAGCACTAAGTTCTTATTCTCATATATATTTTTATGATAACAATAAAACAATAAATAAGTATCGATATAAAAGATATTATTTCGACGATAATAAGATCAAATAAAAATAAAAATATCAATATTAATTTATCAAAAGATAATATTATCAATAAAAATATAATAAATTTTATAGTATATAGTTATAAGATTTTATAAATTATTTTTTTATAAACGCTTTTTCCAACATCTACACGTGTATTATTTTCACTTAAAATAAAAAATTGTATAAATTTCAAGTTTTAAAATATTTTTATATTCACAAATTTATCGTACCATTAGAAATCAATTTATAACAATTAAGATATTCATTTTATTCAAATAAACACTTTAATTTATAAAAATGTAACAAGGTCTAAATAAAAATAATTGACCAATAACGTTAATTTTTTATAAAAATGTTGGTTTTAGCAAACTACACATGTAATAGCGCTAATGTAAAAAAAATTGAACAATTATTATTAGAAGAATGTTGGTATTGTTATTTACTTCCTTTATTAATTACATATATTTTCACTTGAATAATATCATTTGATACGACTTTTTCAATGTTATTTAACAATGACAGTTACTAATAAAAATTATATTGAGATTATATTTATAGATTAGTAATCAGTATTTATTTTATATTAAATATTATATATATTATTTTTCTTTAATTACAAAATTGGTTAGCTAAGTTAAAATATTTAATTTTCTTATACCAAGTACCAAAAATATGCTAGAAGCACTCGTATCACAACCAATCAAAAAATATTATCTTAAGCAAATATAAGAAATTTCATAATTATAAAATCGCTTTATTTAAAAATAATATCCTGAATATCAAAAGATTATGTAGAGTAAATAAATGTACGTGAATCTAAATAATAAATTAACTTTCAAATTTGAACTTTGCTTTTCACTCAGTAACAGAATATTGATATCTGTTTTTTTACGAATCTAAATTAAATTAATTAATGTAGGATAAAGAATGAAATTAAAAAATATTTAAGAAATTTAAAAATTAAATAGGAACTTTTGAAATAATAAAATTTATTACAAAACCATAAAAGAATAATCACAATAAAATGGAATAAGTACAGTTATATCATTTAATTGTTATATCAAGAAATAAGTTCATGAGGATTTGAAACATTTATTTGAGTATCGCAATTCATATTTGACAAACTACTTATAAATTTAAATTTATAAAATCAATTATGAAATCAGATTTATTAAAAATAATATTTCTTGCAAACTGTCAAATTATTACTTAAATTGAAAAATTAATTGTTTTACAATGAATGCAAATATTGATCAAAATATAAAAGGAATTATATATCGTTTATATAATAATAATAATTATATATAATAACTGTAATATATAATAATAGAATAATAGAATTTAGCAACTTTATATTATATATGTTTCAAATTAATTTTTAAAAAATAACATAGTTAAAATATTTGGCATCATCTATACTATTTTATTGAAATATAGAAATTTACGTACAGTATAAAAAGTAATAACGTTAAAATTACGATAAGCAAACTACTTTACGTAGCAAATTAATATTATGTAGAGGAATTATAAAGTATTATCACAAATATTTTTGTAAGAGCAAACATCGTAGATATAAAAATGTTTTACTTTTTTCATTGCCTAAATATGTTTAAATAATTTTGTAACTTGTTTTCAGAAAATTAATCGAAAGATAGAATCATCGATTAAGTTATAAAACAAGTATATTACAATAAATCATCTGCTTAAATTAATTATAAATATATAGTGTTAATTGACGTGAATATTTATTACTGTAAATATTTTAGGTTTCGATACAAATATGTAAAAATAACATTTTTAGTAGAATGAAATAATAGAATCAGTAATTTAATTTTAATATTTATATATCATTTTAAATGTATTAGGTCGCACAAAATATTCTATTTTTAAAATATAAAAATTTATTGGAATTGATTTTATGTAATAAAAACCTCAAATTTTATAAGCATTAAAATATTTTAATTGTTTCTATTAATTTATAATTCATTATAATGGCTAATGAAGTGATATAAAATAGGTTCGACTATTAAGGAATCTAATGTATCTATCTAATTGAACGTTCTATAAACAAAATTACAATATCTATTGTTTTTTAATGGCTTTAGGTCAATCTTATCAGGGAACTAACCACTTTCTTTAATGCACATGAACATGTGTTTTTAAAAACTCGGCTAACCTTTAATACAAAACGAAAATCATTATTTTTTAGGTTAGGTACACGCCACGTGGATGCCAACCCGGATTTGTAACCGGTGTTAACGCAGCGAGTGTGTACTAATAAAGTGTAGTCAAAAGCAAATTTATATATATATATACACACACACACACACATATATATATATATATATATATATATACACATATATATATATTAATAATATTTATTATATATATGCGTTGGTGTGTGATATATGTAATATATATATATATATATATATATATTTATATATTTATTAATTAAATTATACGCGAATGGCACCAAACTGTAATATATACCTACATGTAAACTGACAGAAAAAAAAATATATTCCATAAGGAAATTATCATTTAATTGGTAATCAACGATCGTCGATATTTTATAAAATAAAATTTTTTTTGTAAATGTTATTTATTAATCAATACATTATTTGTAATTATCTTTCTAACCTTACTTAATGTATGTTTTTTATCCATTTTATTAATAAATGATATAATTTGATATATGAATGCGTATTTATAGATAAAAAATGTCGACAACTTTATCAAATCAAGCCCAAATTCGATACGTTATAGAATGGTTTCAAGAATGGTCAGAAATGCAAAGAGATGATTTTGTTGGAATACTCTTGGAAAGATGTAGTTCTTCAAATCTTGTAAATGGTCTACTCACTGGGATTGAAAATCTTGGGAAAGAAAATTCAAATAGACCACCAAGCCTTTTTCAGTGTCGTATTAAGTTATTTCGAGAATGGAGTCAAAATTGGTCTGAACAAGAAAAGGAAACTATTGTAACTTCAATCAAACATATGGATACTACTTTTGCTGAGAAATATGAACAGAGGCTAACCGAAGCTAATGACGGAGGAAAAGTAGAGCAAGAAAAAGAATCATAAAAGTTGAAAATGTTATTTTTGGCATTAATCGATACATCTTTTCGATGCTGTTAACAAATATTTGAAAAATGTGAGAGAATAAGAACTGCTATTTTGTGATTGATCTACGTTCCATGAGCTAATGAAAGATAGCCCTTATTGGCATCTATCTAGTCTGTCAGTCACTGGTTTTTATTATTCATTGAACATTCCATTACAATAATACTTCATTAAATCATAGTTATTCATTGTTTCTTACTTTATTTTATCAATTTCTAGTTGCATTATTCCAGTTAACTAAGAAATTAACATAATTCATACACTCGTAGGAATTTGATTTTCAAAGAATTTATAAAAATATCGATTTAAAATATGATTTTATAAATATTTTAAAATATATTTATTATTTTATTGTAGTATCAGAAATAGTGTAATAATTTTATACAATAAAATTAACATAAATTAAACTTAATTGTTATTGTTATCATTAAAGTGTTGCAGGATTTTCTACCAATATATAAACTTGTATAAGATAATATAAATTTATCACAAATTCAATAAAATTTTACCTTACAAAAATGTTACAAATAAAATGACTAACATTTATTATTTCTTGTATTACATATCACAGATCTAAACTAAAATTTGATAATTACATAGTAGTTCCACATCACTTCATTGTGCTTTGACAATCTCATTATGCTCAAGTAATTGTTATTTTATTGTAGTGCAAATATTGTCGATTTCATTATTATTAATATACAATGCAACTTTGTTTTAACATTATTGTAGACATTAAAACATAAGATACAATATTAAGTGAAACTTATAATTATTATACTTGCTTAAATAAAGTATAAATATCATTTAATGCGAGAGAACGACGTATTCTATAACACTTGTATACAATAAAAATTTTGTAAGATTAACATGTTTATAATTTCCTCCTTTTATCTTCTATATTTATTATTTTTTATTTACATAGAATTTTGTGCTTGTTTCAACCATTTTGTACATATTGATCTAATAGCATTTTGACCAAGTCTATCCGCTTCTTTTAAAATTTTTTTAATATCTTGAGTTCTTTGATATTTGACAGCAAGAAGATAAGCAGCTTTTAGTTGTTTACTTTCAATGTATGAACTTATCTATAAAGGAATAAATAATACAAGTGAATCAATTGCTTTTATACATTTGATTAACAATGAAAAACAAAAATACCTTAAGTTCAACATCATGAATCAATCTTATTAAGGAATCTATGTGGTCTTTAAAGTCCGAATTGCAAACAGTTTGATGATTGTGCAATAAAAGTTTAACACAGTGTGCTAATACTTGATCAGAAATAGCTTGTGAATCTGGTGCACCAGAACTTCGACAACACTTTATTAATTGTTCTATTGATCCTATTTTTTTTTCTATAGCTAATACATGTCCAGCTAAAGAATATAATTTCTGTGGTCGTAAATTATAATCTGAAATAAAATGAACTTTTAACATTATAATTTTTTTTTCAATGTTTACATATCTAAATTTTTGTTTTTTTTTGGTAAAAGTAATTCTTATTACTTTTTTCATTTTCATAATTAGTAACTAAAAATAGGTTTTACGAATAAAAAGCTACAAGAGAATTGGTAACAAAGTTTATTAACCTGAAACGTTTTGTTTAAGGAGTAAGTAGTAAGATATTTCTGCAATATTTTCGATATATTAAAGTAACTACATAATCATAAAAAGTTTTAATAAATCTAATTGAATACATTAGAACGATATAGTATAAACAAAGAAAATAAAATATAAATATTATTAAATTATAATTTGAATGAAAAGTAAAAATTTTCAGTAAAAATATTTACAATTAACTGGTTGATTAAATTTTTTATTTAAATTCATTATTCACTTATTTAATTATTGAAATATTTACGTTGTTGCATTTTTATTTGTATTTAATTTATATTTACAATTTTAATAATTAGAATATGTACATATGAATTAAATATTTAAGAATTAAATGAACCATAAAGAAATAGCCTTTACTACTATTATACAGCTTAAAACAATTTTAAATTAAACAAATAAAATGTTCCAAAATAAGTAACCTTGCATTATTCGAAAAGCGATTCCAAAACCTTCCTCTGCGTCTCGACCACATAGTATAGCTAGCACCGCAAGGCGAGTCTTTTGCTGATGGTTTCCAAATAATGTTGGTAATTCTTCAGAATTTATCATTTCTGTATCCATATCGAGCAAGTGTTTCAGATACGGACCAGTGAATCGACCTTCTCTTTCAGCATTGCCCAAAAACTTAACTATTTCTAATTGTCTGGATATTGTATTCATGTGTTTATCGATCTCCGATGGTTCCATCTCCATTGTAAGACCGTTATGTGAATTACTAAGGGATGAGCACGCACTTTTTCTTCTTTTCTTGCTTAAGTTTTCGACATTTAATTCAGTCTCTAAGTGTTTTTGAGCATCGATAAGAAAATGAGATTTAAATGACAAATCGATATAATTTCTTGCATCGTTTTTGTAAAAACGAATACATGTCATAGCTGCCCTTATAAAGTCCTTCATGAATAGCTGCAAATGATACAAGGTATTAAGAAGCTGTTTTTTATCCAGACTGTGGCAAGTGTATACAAGATACTTCTTCCATGTTAAAAGACTGGCATCATCGGCCTTTAAAGCAGCAAAGAGTTTAGCTATATTTCCCATGTTTAAACAGCGTAAATATACTGAGTTGAAGAAAAGCTCGGGTTCGATATTATTTTCTAATATAAAAGTTAGGCACTTATTAAACTCTTCGTGTTTAACAAAAAATTCAAGTATGGAATTAAAACTTCCATAAGTAAGAAGATAGTATAAGTTTTCTTCATAATAAATACTATGTGAGTTCCAATTACGAACAAAGGAACATTGACCCTGGCTTATTGTTTTTAAGCTGTTGAGGGTAATTAAAATCTCTTGTGCAACATTTGACTTTAATTGAGGCGTGCTTAACGATTGATCAGAATTCAATTGACTTTGGTTTTCTAAAATTTGTAGTATTTCTAAAAGTAAAGGAGGGTCCTTAATTGGTCGATTTCTCACTGGTTGACGCTTACGATTTGGAGAGTCGTTTTTAATGATCTCTAATTTTCGTTGTTTTTGAATTTCTAGTAAATCTTCGTGACTTTTGCCAACACAATCAGTATCTGGATATGAAAGAAGTACCCAATCATCGAAATTCTCATATAATACTTTTTCTAAACAATGAGAAAATTTTGTTCTTGCACGATCCAAATAACCTACCTAAAAATATTTTATTTGCAATTATTTTACAATAACGAATATACAACTAATTTACAAAATAATTTATTAAAACTATGTTTTTATACATAATATTTATAAATTATTTTTATACATAATATTTATAAATTATTTTTTTTATAATATTTATAATATTAATCATATTTATACATAATAATAAAATAAATAAAAATTTGTGTTTGCTAATATTTTTGTATTAATGTATATTTAAACAAGAAATTTGGTGATTTAATAGAGAATTCAATTAAATTAAAGGAAATTATTCTTGTTTTTTTTATAGTGGAGTAGTAGAGTTATGTTTATAAAATATACAGAGCATATATATATATATATATATATATCATACATTTTTTACCATAAAGGTAATTCTTTAAATACATTACTATATTTCATACTTACGATTTTAATTCTTAAGAATTTCATTAAAATCTTACATAATAAAAAGGATGAGTATTGAGAAAGGAATAATTAACTTTAAGTAGCCTATTTAAAAGATAAAATTCGAGCATAGATAAAATACTTAAATATAACTCTATTCAAAGTGTTTATTAAACTGGAAAACTTAAACTTACAAATTTAAGTTTTAAATTAAGTATCCTATTTTCAAACGAAATATGTTCTAAAAAATTATCTAAAACGATAGTTTTACGATCTAACGATATTAGATATACGGATTGAATCAAATAAATAGAGAAAGATTATTTTTTAAATATTTAAAAATTATAGATTATAATAAATTTTTTATGCCAATCTTTAATATGTTAAATAATACTTTTAATATTCTAAATGATACATACATTTAAATTCTACAAAATTTCTAAAATTAAAAATAAATAAATTGAATAAAGTTCTAACAATTGTGTACATAAACTAATATGCCAACACAAAAATTTATAATATAAAAATTTAAATGACAATATAATGATTATTTATTATAATTATAATTTAACCATTATTTTTCGCTAAGTAACTAAACAATTCATATTATATAATTTATAAAATATAATGAATATTAAATACGAAACAATTAATTAAATTGTTAATATATATATATATATATATATATATATATATATATATATATAATATTTAATGTCACTAATGATTACATTTTTTTATTTAAAACTTTATTTGCCATTATTAAAAACTAGTATATTTTAGTACTCGCGGAAGATTTATATCAGAATTGAATTCGTATATCATAAACGATTTATTTTCGTTAATAACGGTAAAATTACAGACACAACAAGCAATCAAGCTTAGATATTATATATTGGATATTGTACTAATTTTTACCCTTTATTTGCGGATGTTTATTAATTGAAAAGTGTAGATATTAAAAATCAATTAATAATATGATTGAAAAAATAATAAAAAAAAAAAAAAAAAAAAAAAAAAAAAAAAAAAATTTTGTAGTCTACGTCTAATGTTTTTTAAATGGCATGAAGAATCGGTTAAAGAGTGATATGATACGGAATAAATTTTGTAAATAATCTTGAATAACTATAAATTTAGAAATCAAGGGATATTAAATGTAGGATAAAAAGATATTAAAAACAAGATACATAATAGAGAATGATAGCCCCATACACGCTAAAGCTAATATAATCATGTTGTTTTATTTTTAATATTTATTTTCAATGACAATAATCTAAAATTTGATAGAGTCATACATTTGTTACTAGTTACTGTTTTAAACTTATATTAAGAAAACAAAATCACGACAAGACCATATTCTACAAAGATTTTATACTTATATTTTATTTCGCGAACGTGTATATTGAAATAAAAATATTTTTATAAATATCCAGTCTTATTTAAGAGAAATACTATATTAAAGAAAATATCTACGGTATACAAGTCTACTTCATCATAAGACATTGATATTAATACGAACTGCATAATATAATAAGAATGAGAAAAGATAAAAAGCACAGTTGTGCGAACCTTTACAATTTTATATTTAATGTATTTTAGTATTAATTTAAAATGTTTATATAAAATTATCTTCATAAATATTTGTATTAATAATTTTAAGTGTATTAAAAAGACAAACTGCTACATTAAAATAATAAACGAAGTGAATCGCTTTTTCAAACAATTACTACATATCGATATCAATGCAATTTCTATTAATATAATAAGATATATCTATACTTAAATATATAAAATTGAAATCTATACTTTTTATAAAAAATTTATTTAATAATTAAACACTTATACTATTAATAATATTTTAATTGTTTTACATTGAACGTTCACTTGTTTAATATTAAATCAACATTAAATGTGAAAAAAATTAATTTTTATAATTTTTTGAAAATATCTTATTTATTTTTAAAATATTTGAATAGTATCTAATAAAAATACTTAAACTGAAATCTTACTTAAAAACCTTAAAGTTAACCAATTTTTTAAAATGTTTTCCAATGAAAATTTTACTTAATAATATGTGATAATACTACTGTATACTATTATTTTATACTGTTTAATTATAATTCTATGTCTATAACATAAGCAAATGTATATAATTTTTTTATTTTATCTAAATTTATTTATCAAATATTGACACTGCTTTCTATTATGAAATAATTGTACTTATTAGTAAGTGTGCATCAAGTAAGCGCATTGTAGGAAAAAATTAAAATGAAAAAAAATTCTTTTGAACTTATTTGAGGCTATTTATTCTTTTATTATTAATTAATTTTATAACTATTACAATAACTATACAATTTCAGTCTTAAATTATATTATAGTAATAATGTTGATTCATGTAAAGGGATCACTATACTTCATGAGTAAATATTATAATATACACAATTTTATTATATCTCACAATGTAATTATTGTATGCTTTTTTAGAATTTCTTAACTCGCATATGCAATTGTCACGAAATTCATTAATTGCGTACATTAATTATTTACATTGCTTATATATTCAAATTTATATGCATACATTCAAAAAACATACATTTAAACAAATATATACATATTCAAAAATATTATACTTTTGAATTTATATTGAAAAATAAAATTTTATTTAAGTGATATCTTAACAATATGCTCGTTATATATTGCATTTAAAATAGTTATGATAATAACAAAATTTAATAAATGTCATTACTCATTGGATTATTTTTAAAGAAAAAATTAATATGATTGAAATACCTTTAAACAAGCTTTTCCCCAAGCAGCCCAAACTCCTTGAGTATCCAAACCAGATTTTGTACTAACATCCAATGCTAAAGTCCACTGTTCTTTTTCTGTTAGTAAGTCACGTAACTTTCTAAGAGCGTGTTCATCTAGGCTATCATCAGAGGGTATTAGAGCAAGACAGTCAGACTGTACAAGCGTAGCAATAAGATCTACTTGAGAGAGGAAACGATCACAATGAGCCAAACCAGCGTTTAAGCCAAGTTTGGCACATTTCACCTTAACAGCTACTAATAACGATCGAATCATCTTGATAATTAAAGCATGATCGATCTCTGGGTTGACTCTTCCTCCGGTGACTGGTTGGAGTAGTCTTTTCATTTCATCACATCGATCCAGAAGAAAACTATAGACAATATTTTTTTACTTAATATTTTGAATCTCTATAAAAAATTTTTATACCAATTTACCAACGTAAAATATATTGGCCTTTTTTAAAAATGTTTGTATAACATTTTTTTTTATGACCGATTTTTCGTGCAGGAGTAGCTGTTTTATCGAAGTGGTTACAAATAGAAAGCTGGGACTATAAGTGTATACACAAAAATACAAATATTTCTGTTATTAATCAAAATGCAATACTTAATAAAAATTATTACTATAAAATTCAAAGAAAAATATAAAATAAAACTGTTTTGCATTAATTTTTTATTTAAATTCGACATTATATTGGATATTTTATTTATTATATTATTGATTATTTTATTATATGTTACTTTTGAATTATTCTGAAAAGATTTCCTAAGAGTAAGAAATATAAGGACTAGGTATATTTGAACGTTCTAAATCTGTTTAAGCTATAAATAATAGAAAAATAAAAGCATTTATTTCCTAAAGCAACCAAGATTATCAGATATATGTACAAAAGTTAATTATTTAACAAAAAAACATTTATTTATAATTTAAATTGTAATAGTGTAAAAGTATCATTTGCATAAAGTAAAGAGAATGATATGATGAGAGGTAAAAACATATTTAATCGAATTAGGATGCGTAAAATGTACTATAAAAAGTGTAAAAGCAATAACAATCTTCCATCTATGGTTCTTTATTAGCCGAAGTTAAGATTTGAATGAGGGAGAGCAGATACGGGAGTATCCGAAGAGATAAAGTCTCATCAATCTTTAAAATGAAAACGATTTTTTTATAGGTAAAAAAAATATCTTAAACTATAAACGGATGATTATCATCCATTTAAAATATATTCACCTTGCATAAGCTTTATGATCCGAATGTAAATTGAGAATTGCCAGACACAACGATATATTAGGAGCATATTCAAAGGAGAATTCTTCGCGAACGGTTTGATTGTGTGATTCATCGGTTGTTAGTTTCCAACATTCTAGTATAACACTACTCCCGGCTGATGGTGTCCCCTGTGCTGTCTGCATCTGAAGCGTTGTCTGCTTTTTACAATCATCGCAGACTCTCACTAACATTGATTTTGGATAACCCAATACTTGCATTCGCTGCTGAGAACAAGCAGCACAAACCACTCTACCGCAACGCCGACAATGATGTCGTCGATTGAACATTGAAAAAATAACACCTTTACAAGAGCTGCATTCTCTAGCCTAAACCAATAAATTGCATTATACTTCATTTGTTTGAAAAATAAATAAAATTACTGTAACAAGTTACAAATGTTTATAATAACTAAACCTTAGATTAAATAAAGCTGCCGATAGCATATTTTTACAACTTGTTTGAATTATTTAAAAAAGACAAGTGGTTTGTAAGATTATATTCAAGCTGAATTTAAAATTTCTGTTAGTCAGTAGACTTTCAGATAAATTATGTAACAAAAACCTCAAGATGTTTGCATGACAATATATTATATACAATTGCATGACATATATATTGTATTTACAATTATATCATTGCACGATCTTATTTAATATTTAATATTAATACGAATTAATATTATTTACATGCTTGTTTATATCATAATATAATAAAAATGTTTAAAATCACTAATAGCTACATGTAGTAATAAATTTAAACCAATCATACTAATACGGGTTAAGCGTTATAGCTTAAATATCTACAAAATTTAATTGAATTAATAAGATTGAATTTATTGAATATAAATAATATATATAATATTTTATTACATTAATATGAATCCCCTTCGTATTATCTTTTATTTTGAACATTAAATTATATAAAAAAAAATCTTATTTTTTTTTTAATTATTGTTTAATGAACCTTTGAGAGCAAAATATTTTATAATTAAGATTTCATTTTTAAATCTTAAAATTGATTATAAAAACATTGATTATAAAAAATTATCTTTTATAATATACTGTATTTTGTATATAAATATTATCACAGTGACTATCGATTAGTTGAGAATACATAATAAGTTTATATATACCGAGTAATGTATACGAGAAGATTTAATAATTAAAAAAGAGGAGATCGAAAATATAGAAAGGTTAGACAAGAAGCCAAACAGTTGCAACTAGGAAAAACTTAGCATTAATTATACATTGAATATGATCGTATATAACTCATATATTCTGTTGCCATTATTTCTATTATATTGTTTTATGAATTATAAAATCTAAAAAAAATAAGAAAAAAACGGAAAATATTAATTAATTTTATAATATATGATAAATAATGTCAATTATAAATATATTTGACAAGCCTATCTTTTAAAAACTGCTTATCATTGGTTCATTATTAATTTAATACATTTATTACATAATATTAATACATTTTAATATTTAACTTATTTAAAATAAAAATCATACCTTATCATTTGGAATCCACTTTTCTTTAGTCGGTACATTTATTGGCATGATAAATTCACTATTATGATTTTCATTATCTAAAGATGATATGAGATTTGTTGTATCTTTTATTTTGGAATCTATTCCATCTCGTTGTAAGGATACTCTAAAATCTAAAGATTTTCCAGCATAAAATCTAACTATTTTATCAAAATTTTCAATTGGAATATTAGCTTTTGAAAAATTATTAGATCTTTGAATAATATTGATGATTTTTCGAAGATTTTCAAATTTACAATTCATTAACAATTGTTCTAATATTAAAAGTGGTTCCTTTATTAATTGTATATAATGAACTCTTTCTTTATGTTCTAATTGATCTATGATTTCAATTCCTATTTGTATTTTATAATACATAATGGCTTTTTGAATTTCGCAATGTTCAAGCAAATATTCAATTATGAATCTCATTGATCTAATTGATTCTAATTTTTTAAGAACTCCTTTGCACATTTTTATAGATTGCCTTATTGGAAGTGCTGCTAAAAGCTTAAGCAAAACTATTTAAGCTAATCATTTATATATTTTTAAATAAATTGTTTGAATTACAACTTACTTTTCGAGCATTTTTAAAGTCCATTTCATCATTTCTCAACAATCCAATAAGAAGATCGTGGGTAACTAAAGACTGAATCTCCAAAGAAAATGCCTGATATTCCAACCATTCAAGACATAATTCAAACTTGTTAGCCTCGACAAGTGATTGAATGATGTAAACTGGATCAGTTTTCTCAGTACAGTATATAACATCATGCCAAGTTGCTTTTTTAGATTCTAATTCTTTATTTTTACAGTGAGGTAGTATTTTATAAAAAACAGTAACTCTACATAAAGTTTCATTCATTTTAAATTTACAATGTGAGGGAAGCTTATGTTTATCAGTATGATGTAATATATAAAACAAAGCATCCTGACATAAATAAATTGGCCATTCATTTATATTGGAAAGTATTGTTTGTGCCAAGACATTAATATCTTTAATTTGATATATACATTGCAGAATTTTTTCTGTATTTGAATTAATTTTCATTTTATAAATCAACTGGTACAAAAGTTTATCTTTTAAACATTGGATTTCAGTACTTCTTGCTAATAATCTATTAGGTAATGCATTTATAATATCAAGGCAGTTTTGAATTTGATCAATCTTTAAGCATTTATCCAAATATATCCACAAATCATTTAATGATAAATTTTCTTGTATAGTAGCAAGCGTTATATTATTATCAAATAAAGCGGAAGCTAAAGTCAGCATCCACAAAGCAGTAGAATTGTTTTCAAAACAAGCAGTGCGTTGTAAATTATCACAACTACTTTCAAATACAAATGAACTTGCTTTATGAACACGTTTTACAAGATATGAAAGTAACCAACAGTGCCCTTCTAAATAATGTAAAACATTGGATTTTATTGACCTAAACATCCAAAGCGGTGAATTATAATAGTTTGAATTCATATTTAGTTTTATCATTATATCAAGATTTGCAACGCTAATTTCTTCATATTTGAGCAAGATTTCAAAAGAGTTGACAACTTTTTTATATTTATAAATAATCTCCTCCGATTTACTAAAATTACCACTTGATGAAAAAATGGTTTTGTATGACTGAATGGGAATTCCATTCTCGTAATTTACGTTTGATATATTTTTTGTTTCAAATTTTTCATAACATTCTACAAGATCTGGAAGCCATACGAGTAACTTTGTTTGATTTGCATTATCATTATTTGCATCATATTCTAATTCTTTCCTAGAGTAATAATCAAGATAATTGCGTAATCCTAAATTTAAATCTTTATTAAGTGATTGTGGATAAAAAATCTGTAAACATAAATAATGAAATTCTAGTGCTTAATGAAATAAAATGTTAAAGCAATTAATTTTTAAAATACTTACATGAATAATTGGAGTTTCATAAAATTCATTTGCCATTACAAATATAACACGAGGATCATGAACAAGATCTAAATCTTGCCAAGCAACTTCGTTAAGATCTTCAGTATATGAAAAATATTCATTATCCCATGACATACAACCAAGTAATTTGGATCTTAAAATTGCTAAAGAAATGCGCCCTAAATCTCCAACGTGATAGCTAATAGATGATTGTGAAATAAAATGTCTTAACGAATTCAAAGGAGGATTAGTTATCCATACAGTTAACTGCGTATGAAGAAACAGTAGATTCCAGAGATTCAAAAAGAAAGCTAATGTATGTTCACCAACTGATAATTCGCTTAAGTCTAAAAATTCTAATTCTGATGACTTTCTTAAAATCCGTTGAATATCAGGATTTTTTGATAAACCATAAAGATCCTTATTTAATATTCTTGAAACATTTGGATTCAAGTATTTAATAGTTTCAATTAATTCTAACAAAATATCTGCTACACATTGATTCGGATCTTGGTTTTTCTGTTCTGTTATATCCTAAAACATAAAACACATTAAATAAATGATGTTCTTTCATCTGCTAGATTAATTAAGCGAACATTAGTTAATTATATATATTTACTTTATTATTCAAATTCTTATTAAGAACAATGCAGCCCCATGTTTCATTACCTATAGTTTGTAACGAATCATAAAAAGTAAGTTTAGGACAACAGTTGACTAATATATTATGAACCAAATTTACTCCTAGCTTATTAGCTACAATCTCAAGATTTTTGGGTTCATTATTTAAATCAAATATTTGATGTCCAAAGTAGAAATCAAGCGAATTACTTAATAAATTTGTTTCAGTTCGACATTCAACTCGTTCATCTGAAAAATTATACTTTTAATTTTAAAATTAAACTGAATTTAAATTAATGCTTTGAAATATAGATCTATGGCAAAATAATGCAAAGTGCGCGCTGTACATGTGCTTAAGCATATGCGAAATATAATGAACATAAATATAACGTGTGTGCAATATGGATGAGGGTAATTGTATGTAAGTATAAATCCATATAAGCATAATATAGAATAGAAGCAAGTATGAAATTAACGACCCTGAAATGTATGTAAAGTATGCATTATGGACTTAAACACAAGAAGCATCAAACTAAATGCTGTGTGCGGTTGGAGGATGTGCCATTAAGGCAATAGTTATATAACCATGGTCTGATTTTGACTGATCTCCCTGAATATATTTTTCAATCCCAGACGCGTATTTTTTTTACTATTCTTTTTTTAAACGACGTCTTTCGATGTACTCTTTTTGTTTTAAAAAATGACCTTTACAAAAAAAAAACTTCCTTAAAATATCACGCCCGTGGGGGCACTACGATGCGAACATATCGTATACGAATTATTCTATTTTCTTAACGCTCACGAACGCCTGACATATTATTTATATGCATGTAGATTTGTAATAATAATTGCGCCGTAAGTTTTTATTGGCAATTGTAAGATTTAAAATAAAATTTGTGTAGGCTTGAGTAATATTAGGAATATATCTTAATAATATTAAAATCGGATTCTTTTATTACAGTGAACTTATAAAGAATAAAATTATAACTTTATATTTCCGTCTAATACATTTTATTTAAAAAAACATTTGTGCGCATTTTTTTAATAAATTCAAATTTCTCACAAAGGATTCCAGTTTAACTTTGAGCCTCTCAATGGGAACCAAGTACGAAGATCGACAGTTATATATTTATAAACATTTATATTAATATATTATTATAAATAATTATATTATACGATTATCTTTATTATGAAAGATTATTATTTTAAATATTTTTAAACGTAATGGAATTTCATCAAATTCATTGCAACTATATAAAATTTTATTATCAGTCATTAAATTGATATTACACAAAATTAATACTATCAAAATAATGCATGTACCTTGATATTTTCAATAATTATTTTAAAAGGTGACAAATAAAACATTATTAATAACTTAATTTAAATAAAAATTTTTAATAAAAATAATCCTTACCGTTAGGAACAATTGAGTATAAAATTTTTAGATGAGCTTGTATCTTGTAAAGATAGCTCTGTGTATTTCCGCAAAGAGTGATAGTATCTTTGAAGACCTTCTGCCCGTTCAGAGTAAGCAATCCATTTGCATTAATCATATTTTCCAATTTATCTGATAGCAACTGGCTTTTTTGGAATTGGTTAATTTTGTCAATAAGTTTTCTCCAAAAGTCAGTTTTCTCTTTCCAGTCCTGAATGTTTAATAATATTCTGGCATCGCATAGTGCTTTCGGTACAGATTTTCTTAAATTACCTTCGTGCATAAGTCTATAAACATTTTCGAAATGATTTGAATGCCG